GACATTCTTATGACTTTGTCATTAACATTCTTATGACATTGTCATTGACATTGTTTTCTATTGACATTGTTTTCTATTGACATTCTTATGACATTACCACTGACATTTTCTTAACCTGACAACATTGTTTATTTAAAGTGCATGAATGTGTGGGCTGATAATGTCCAGACTACATTGGCATTATCACGACAATGTCATTGGCATTGTCACGACAATGTCATTGGCATTGTCACGGCAATGTCATTGGCATTGTCACGACAATGTCATTGAAATTGTGTCATTTTAATGTCATTTTTATAACATTGACATCATCACGTATTACATTGTCATATAATGACATTGATTTTTAAACAATGACATCGTATTACATTGTCATATAATGACATTGATTTTTAAACAACGACATTGATTTTCTAACAATGACTTCAAATTTTAAAGAATGACATGATATTACATTGTAATGAGCATTGAAATTTTCGTGACATTGTCATTATTTAAAATTGTGTTGGTCTGACATTTTGACATATTTATGACAATAAAATACACTCTCAACTAACAATGTATTTTTCAAAATCTGATATTGTCATTTTTGTAAACAGTAACATTATTTTACATTATTGTAAAAAATACAGAGTATACGAAGTAGTAATTTGAAATGCAATTGAATTGAACACCAAACATGATAATTTGATAAATTCAACACCTAACATGTTCGTACATCATTCTGTTCAAAGCCTGCCAACCATTAATGCACTCAAATAATTTGATTCCCCCCTATTGAAGTGGAAGTAAGGTTTAATAACGGTGAAGTTGTGCAAGAGTTATGATCGATGATGGATTGATGGAGTCTCTAGCTAGGCGATTTTTTCTTGCAGGGGATGTGATGTAGCCATCCTGATATAGACATCTCCGATTTTTATCAGTAGAGAGGAGCTTTACACATGCCTGCATAGAACGTACCGGCGTATTTTTCCCTTCGAGTGAAACCATTCTTCAAGCTTCTCCATCATTCCGGACCTCTCCTTGTCATCTACTCATTTGTCCAAGTACCGATCCAGCACCGGCGGCAAGACGTTCACCCAGAGGATACAACAGCTGTAACGAAGCTCCCATTGGCCACTCGCCGGCGACGGGAACCGCTCATCTTCCTTGCACACGGCAACCTCGGGGTTGAACTGTTTTACCAGGCCGGAGAGCGTAAATGTAGGAGATTGATCTGCAACAGAAGGTTGTGTCGCTCGTGCGTGTGTTGTGTGGCTGCGTGAGATGTGAGGGTATTTTTGTCTGTTCGGTTGAAAATAAGTCTTATTTAGGGTTAAAAAAGTTAGAGGTCCTATCCCGATTCCAAGCTCATGTTTTAGTCTTATTTAAGTCTTTTTCCCATGAAATATATGGTTTGTGAATTTCAATTGTTTAAATTTGGTCTGTACTTGTCTGGCAGTCCATATGTATTTGTCTTTCATGTACTAGTAGTTGTCTAGCAACCCATTCTCTTCGTCTGTCCCGTCATTTGAAATTACTTTGTAATGTAATTGATTTGCCTGAAATGTGTGATATGTATTGGTTGAAATTATACAAAGCTTTTGAACTACAACTTCTTGTGTCGAAGCAGTTTCCTGCCCAGTATTCCGTGTGCTCATTTTTCAAAGAGGCCGGAAGCTTGGTGCAGTCTGCTGATAGAGTATATCTAGAGAGAAGTGAGAGCTAGAGAGAGAAGTGCAATAATATGCTTCAATAGAAATGATTTCATAACCCCTATAACTACTCCCAAAGGGAGTATTTATAGAGAAAATTAGGGTTGGGCTCCCAAGCCTTGGGCTTGGGAGGCCCATTTACAACTGGACCGCTACTGGGCCGAATACAAAGCCACTAATGGCCTGTACAAATGAGTAAGTGTAAAATCCGATTCTGGGAGGTCTTCTTGGCCGACGAGGGCACGGCCGACGAGGGCACGGCCGACGAGGGCACCCGGGTTCCTCGGACTCAGGACCATAATCCGAGTTGGCTCCTTTTCGGCCGACAGGGGCGTCTTGGCCGACGAGGGCGCCACTCTGTTGTCTTGTGCTTTCTGTTCTTCCGAGTATGTGGGTCCTGGGGCTCAGACCCATATACTCCATCAGGAGTCCCCCACTCTCTAAGCTGAGACGTAGACGAAGCGAAGGAGAGTAGATTCCTGTGCTTTGTTGCCCTTGGCCGATGCGGGCATTTCCAGGCCGTTAGCCGTTGCGGTATTGGCGCTGTTTCCATTCTGGTGATCCTGTTATGTGGTTTGGCCGTTACCTGCTCCTCGCTGTGGGCGGGAGGCCGTTGTTTCCTTGACGTGTTCGTTTGAGGACGATGAGTGTCCTGCTTTCAATGGTGGCCGTTGAAGGCACGTTTTGCTTGGGCGCTGATGTTTGAAGTTTGTGTTTGGGCCGATGAGGCCACTGAAGTTGGTCCTTGCTTCGAGGACGATGGCGTCTTTTCCTTTTGGATTGCCGATGAGGGTGTTTGCACACTCCTTTTGGCCGTCGTTGATCAGCTTTCATTTTTCTGGCCAAAGAGCCCCTCGTGATTAAGTGATGGCGGAGGACGATGAGTGTCCTTGCCTTTGGTGGCCCGTTGGCCGTTGCGGATGACGTTGTGTGCCTTCAGACGACGAGGTGCAGTGTGGTGCGTGGCCGATGTGGCCATGCTCTGTGGTCACATTCGTGTTTTTTGTAGTTTCCTTTGTGCTTTGTTGAGGCCGGTGTAGTCCCCCAGTCCCCCACTGCTTCAGGCCGAGGATTGTGAGGGGTGAAGGAGTTGATTGAATCCTTGGCCGAAGAGGCCTCCCCGTAGTCCCCCTGAATCCAACTCTCATGGCGATTTTCTGGCCAAGGTAACCCTGTGGGAGAACCCTTGTGCGCAGATCGCTTGTAGAGAGTTATCATCAAAGATCATGACGAGGAGCCGATGGCCTGTGGGCTCTTAGGTCCTGTGATCTTGTGGCCGTTACGTTCCTGGCCGTTGCCGTCTCCTTATTGTCTGGCAGTTGTGATCTTGGCGAGCAAGTGGGACGTTGTGGGCGCTTGCTGGTACTTGTAAAGCCGACAAGTGTGTAGGCCGTTGGAGTCTGGTTTGCCAGTGGGCTGATGATGTGGGTTGGGCCTGGCCCGTTGGTGACGTGGTGGCCTCCCGTTGGTGGCCGTTGATGTGGCCATTGGGAGAGTGCCACGTGTAGTGACCGTTGGGTGGAGGGGTCTATAAATACCCCTTCCCCTCCGACGAGGAATCACATTTGCATTCTGAATTTGTCGAAGTGCTGGCCGATTTTCTAGAGAGATAAACTCCCAAGCCTGTTCTTCGTGTTCTTCGTTGTTCAAGGTTAGTGTTCATCGCGATCTTCCTCACTTTTCATACTTTGCTCCCTAGGTTGTTGATCTAGTGTTTAAGCGTTTGAACACCCTTAGATCTTAAGTTAGTCTCCTTAGGCCCGTAGTAGTAGTAATGAAGAGCTTGAACGAGGACTACTACCCCTACGACGACCAGCCCTCCACGAGGTCGCTTGACTACGAGGTGCTCGAGGAGTTTGAAGAGGAGATAGAGCGTTTAAGTCCCTACAAATCCGGAGAGCTGATGGACGAGGAAGGCGAGGACGAGGAGTCCGCCTCCTCTTCAGAGGGTGAGGACGTAGGCGCGTCCCGAGTGGTGGACGGGGCGTCCACTTCTGCTGCCGTTCCGTGCCCGAGGCCGGTGTCTGCCGTGAAGGGAGCAGCTAAGCCGAAGAGGGTGAGGAGGCCGAAGAATGGGCCGGGCCTCTCCTACCTGGACCTCACCAACATATTCCTGATCAAGCCGGAGAGCAGCGCGACCGACTATCTTGTCGCCCAGATGTACGTGGGGCCGTTCGGGCGGGTTAGGGCACCCAGGCCGACGGACCATGTCTTACTTCCGCCACCGGGATACTTTGGAGTATACCCGATGAGTTTTGCTAAGGGGTTGAGGTTCCCCCTTCATCCTTTCGTCATTGAGTATCTGGACATGGTGGGGCTTCCTCCGGCCTTGCTGACGCCGAACAGTTATTCCTTGATTGTGGGCTTTTTACTTCGGTGTGAGGAGTTGGGTTACAGGCCGACAACGGCCTTATTCATGAATTTGTACCAGATCGGCCGAGGAAGCCACAAGAACTGTGCGGCCTATGCTACTCTTCAACAGCTGCCGAGGAAGAGGAGCTTCACGGATTTGCCTACGTCCATTCATGGGTGGAAGAGCAAGTTCGTGTTTGTGTCCATTGGTGAGAGTGGCACCGAGTTCCCCTCTCTCGGCCATACAGGGAGGTTCAATCTCCATGACCCGCCGAAGAGCTCTATTTTGGACGCTCAGGTGGAGGCTTTCCTGGAAGGGGGGCCGAGGAGCGTGAAGGACTACGTTACTGAATACAAGATGACCGCCCTCGGCTTCTTCAGATACCACCTGTATGGAGATAAGGAGGATGACCTCCAACTCTGGCCGAGGATGACCACCACCTTTGAGGAGGCCGATGGCCCGGATTTGGGCATTCCTGCTGAGGCCGATGGTAATTTTTTCTTCGGCTTTCTGTCTTTATGTTTTGTCCTTTGCCTTACTAATCTGTTTGTTTTTCCTTTGTAGACTTTGCCATGGACCGACGTTCCATAATGGCTGTTGCCAAGGCCAAGGCGGCCGAGGAGTTGGCTGCTAAGGCGGCCGAGGCGGCCCGACGTGCCGCGGCCGGTGGGAGCGGGGCTACTGCTGATGCGGCCCCAAAGCCTGCCCCATCAAAGAAAAAGAGACCGGCCACTGACGGCCAGAAAAAGTTGACTGAGGCCGGCCTGAGCGTCTCGAAGAAGACGAAGAGGGCTCCTTCCCCTTCTCCGGCTACCGAGGCCGGTACCCTGGCTGTCCCCATCGTGGACGATGGTGGTCCCGTCGTGGACCTTACTGTTGCTGATGATGCTGCCCCATCGCTTCCTCTCGTCCAGGAACCACGGACGAAGAGGGCCGGCAAGGAGATTGCCGGTGCCACCTACCAGAAGGTGGTAGAATACCCCGTCGGCGGGGGCGTGTTTAATGATCTCGTCCCTGGCCACGTCGTCCTGGCCCAGGCCATGCCGGCCAAAGATCGGGCTTACTTGAAGAAGCTCGGGGACGAGAAGATTTACGAGGGCGGCATGGACCTCTTCGTCCAAGTAAGTTACTGTCCCTATGTTTTTGTCTCTCTTCGTCTGTGTAGAGTCTTTTGCCTGACCTTTGTTTTCCTTCTGCAGAGTGCCTTTATGCTTATGGAAAGCCATAAGAGGCAGTATTGGGAGATAGCTCGCTTGAAAGGGCTGGAGCAGAAGGCTGCCTCGGCCGACGAGGCGGTAGCTTGCCTTGATCGGCTCCGGGAGGATGCCAAGACGTTGCAGGCAAAAGCTGATGAAGCCGCCGCGGCCAGGGACGATGCCTTGGCCAAGCACGAGGAGAGCAAAAGGGAGCTCGAGGAGTCCCAAAGGGCGCTTGAGGCCGAGAAGCGCAAGAGCGAGGAGGCCGTTAAGGCGAAAGCTGAGGCCGAGGCCGCCGCTGTGAGGGCTGCCGACGAGGCCGTTGAGAAGTTCCTGGCCGAGGGGTGGAAGGCCGATGAGAGGCTCCCCTGGTGCTACGAGGTGGTGGCCGCCAAGCTTGAGAGTTGGGGGATGAACTCCCCCGCCGGCCGGGAGTATTTCAGCCGAGAGATGTCGGTGTATTATAACCTGGGCCAGGAGCGGATGCAAAGGCTCCTGTGTCGGCGGCTATCCTGAGCGTTGAAGGCCATGAATTACACGTCTGGGTGGGCTAGACGGAACCTGAAGCTGCCGAAGCTGATGAAGGATCCAGAAGAGCAGGCCAAGCTTCCGCTGTCGGAGCGAGAGTCCCCCATAGAAAGCTCCGGCCTTGGCGAGCCGGATTATACTGAATTTGATTTCTTAGACGATGCCACCAGCGCCGCAGCCGCTGCCGGCCAGGAAGCTGAGGACGATGAGGGAGCTGATGAGGTTGAAGAGCCAGCCGCGGATGAAGGTGCCCCGGAGGCTTGATCGGCTATTCCCTGTTGTAATTAGCTTTTCAATTTTTTGCCAAATGATGTAACGGTCGAAGTGCCCCCCAATTGTAATGAATTTGACTATCAATTGAAGAAATTTTTGTTGTCCTTTTCGGCTTTGAATCCCTTGTATGCTTGTTTGCTTTTTGTCATTTGTTGAAATTTTTTCTAAGTGTCAAGGTCACAACTTGGGTCACCCGCGAGTGTCCGCTACGTCCGTGAGGTTGGCCTTCCTGTCCAGTAGTCTGGTCGGCCTATTCATCTTTGCTTTACTATCATAACACTTAGGATTTTGTTTCAAAAATTTCCCAAGTGTTTTTGGGTCCATGTAGCTGCTGTCTTTACGGCCTAGTGGCTTGATCGGCCTGGACGTAGTTTCATAACACTTAGGAATTTTTTCAAAAATTTTCTAAGTGTTTTGGGATCCACTTAGGTGCTTTCCTTTCGGCCTGGTGGCTTTGTCGGCTTGACCGGTGGTCCTCGGCCACGTCCTTTTGCCCTTGATCGTGGTGTCCGCTACGTCCATGGGGTTTAGTCTCTCCCCATTATTGACAAATGGTTGGGGTGATTTGCTAAGTGTAGAACCAGTGTCATTGTCGGCCTGCATCCCTGTGTTGTGGCCGATAAGGGCACCTTCACCATAGTCTTGTGGACTTTGAATTTTTTCCAAGTACATAATGCAAGGCGTAGGTAGCTAACGGCCTTAGAATATGTATGTACCCGCTTCGTCCAGGGTTACTCCACTTGAGTACTTAAGAGAGTTTTCCAAGTGTGAATGTTGGGCATTTACTTCTTGGCGGTACCGTTGTCGGCCAAGGTCTGGCTTGTGGCCGATGAGGTGCTGGGTAAGGAATGGCTTTCCAGGGATATGGTCCTACCTTCGTCGGCTAGCCCTGGTTCCTTGTTGAGGAACCCTCTTTTCTTTTTTCTCAGGATTTTTTTCTAAGTGTTTGGTAAACACTTGAACCAATTCCCAGAGAACTTTCGCTTGGCCAGCAGCCTTGGTTCCAGTGCCTGTATCGGCTATCCTGGCTGCTGTGGCCGGTAAGGATTGTTTCCTGGTTGCTTGATCCTTCCGCGGGTGTGCAGTGCCCGCTTCGTCCCGGTCATCCTCAGGATTGTGATTCTGTTCCATACCAAGCGTTGGTGCCTCAAAGGACTATGGCCGATGAAGGTCACCTCTCGCGTGTCACCCAACCGATGCGGTTAGGGTTTTATAGGCGTGTGTTTCGGCCTTGATTATTCCCTTGTAGTGTGTGGACGTGTCGTCCATGTTACCTGTCAGTGGTACTATACTTGTGTTTAACTGATATGTACCTGGCCTAGTTGGGCCTGAGTTGTGGGGATTTTATTTTTTCATTGCTCAAGGCCGGCAAGTGTGTGCGGCCGTCGGCTTCCCTCTTTTTCCCTTGTATTTTTTTTTTATTTCGGGGGATATCCTTCTTTCAGGCTTCGGCCGAAGGGTGTGCTCGTCCTTCGGCCGGTTCGGACTTCGTTTATAACGTCCGTGGTCTCAGGGCGGGTCCCGTCGCCTATTTATGACGCGGGCTAGACTTTTGGTCGGTTTCCAACGGCTGTCGTTGCCCATCCCTGAGTTTTGGGATTTTGTCACCTCGGCCATGATTTCAGGCCTGTCGTCCTGCGTTCTGGCGTGTGGACGACGCGGTGAGCTTCCCGTTTCAAGACGTGGGCCGTTTGCGGGCCCCTCGTCCTGGGGACATCGTCGGCCATACCTGAGTGTTTCACTTCTAGGCTTACGGGGCCAGGACGATGTGCTCTCTCAGCTAGGCCTGAGCCCTTCGCTGATACAAAATACAATGGAGTGTCTGAGCTTGTCGCTCGTAGGCTGCAAATGCAAGGGGCCATGTCGGCCAGACCTGAGCCTTTTGCTCTAAGGTGGCCGACGAGGGCACCTGCTAATGTTTTACTTTGAATTTCCAGAGAAAATCAGAACATGATTTTATTCATAAGTGGCTCGAGGCCGAGGGTGGCGTTCAATCAGTAACCCGTTAAGGGGTGAGGGCTTCGCCGTCTACACCTCCTCCGGATTACTGATAAAACTTCACCAGATGGTGTACATTCCATGTTCGTGGTACATTGGACCCATTCGGGCGTTTAAGCTTGTAGGTGCCGGGTTTGACCACGGCACTGACGATATAGGGCCCTTCGTACTTCAATGCTAGCTTGCCACCCTCTGTCGGCTGGCTTGCTTCCCTCCGGCGGAGGACGTAGTCCCCCACCTGAAACTCCCGGGAACGTACCTTGGCATCATAGTATGATTTTACTTGACGCCGGTAGTTCTCTGCTCGGACGTAAGCTTGCTCACGCCTCTCGTCAACCAGGTGTAGGTCAATCTTCATGTTCTCTTCGTTGGTGTCAGGCTCATATTGTTCCACCCGCCGGCTGGGGATGGCAACTTCCGTGGGAGCCTTTGCTTCAAAGCCGTAGCACAGGGCGAAAGGCGTTTCACCTGTCGCCCTCCTCGGCGTGGTTCTGTAGCACCACAGGATGTTGGGGAGCTCGTCGACCCAACTACCTCCTGCGGCCTGGAGGTTCTTCTTCAGCCCCTCCATAATTGTTCTGTTGGCGTTCTCGACCTGCCCGTTGCCCTGAGGGTAGGCAACGGAGGAGAAACGGTGCCTCACCCCAAACTCCCGGAGGAGCTCCTGGAAAGGGGCTGCCTCGAACTGGGTGCCGTTGTCTGATTTAATCTCCTGGGGGACGCCAAAGCGTGTGATGATGTTCTTGTAAACAAATTTTTGGCATCTGGCCCCCGTGATGCTGGCCAAGGGTTCCGCCTCGACCCACTTGGTGAAGTAGTCGACGGTGACGATGATGTAGCGGTTATTCCCGGTGGCTCTGGACAGGGGGCCGACCAGGTCAATCCCCCATCTGGAGAATGGAATTGCGGTGCTGACAGGGGCATAGTTGACAGCTGGCCGACCAGGGGCCTTCTGGAGTACCTGGCATGTGGTGCACTTCCTGGCCAGGTCAGCGCAGTCGCGTGCCATCGTCGGCCAGAAGAAGCCCTGGACGACGAGACGCCGGGACATGCTGAAAGGGCCCTGGTGCGAGGAGCAGACGCCACAATGAACCTCTTCCATGGCTGTGTCGGCCTCGTCCTGGTGCAGGCATCGGAGGAGAGTGCCATTATAGGACCGTTTGTAGAGTTTGCCATCTTCGATGGTGTAGCTTGGTGCCCTGAGTTTGGCAAGTTTGGCCCTCTCGTCGTCCGGGGGCAGCTCCCCCGTTGTGATGAAGGTGGCGATGTCGGAGATCCAGTCCTCTGGTCGCTGTTGGACGCACAAGACGGGGCTGGCATGGATGCTGGACATGCTCAACTCCTCGATCTTGGCCAACTGGGAGATGTGCTCCGGGGTGTCCGAGCTGAGCTTGGAGAGGATGTCGGCTTCGGCGTTCTCGGCCCTTGGGATCTAAGTGATCTCATGGGTTTCAAACGCTTTCAGCAATTCCTCCGCCGCTTGTTTGTACTGCTTCATTCGGCCTTCCTTGGCTTCGTATGATCCCTCCACCTGGCCCACTACCAGTTTGGAGTCGCACTTGATTTTGAGGTGCTTGGCCTTGAGGCCAGCGGCGAGTCTGAGACCGCTGAGGAGGGCCTCATACTCGGCCTCGTTGTTGGATACCCTGAAGTTGAAGCGGATGGCGTAGTAAGCTCTGAACCCTTTAGGGGATATGAGGACGACGCCGCCACCGCATGATTTCGCGGCCGACGAGCCGTCAGTGAACAGGGTCCACGTGTCGTCCGGCTCCGGCCCGGGGTTGGCGACGGCCGTCTCCCTTGCTGTGCATTCAATGACGAAGTCGGCCAAGGCTTGCCCTTTGATGGATGGCCTTGGCTTGATCTCAATCTGAAACTGGCTGAGGAAGATCGCCCATTTCACCATCCTCGAGGAGCTAGTGGGGCTCCTCATGAGCGCGCCAAGAGGCTGCTGGGTTAGCACATGGACGGTGTGGGCTTGGAAATAGTGCCCCAGCTTCTTCACGGTGTGGACAATGGCCAGCACCGTCTTCTCAATGGGGGAGTACCTGAGCTCGGCCTCCCTGAGTGTTTTGCTGATGTAGAAGATGGCCTTCTGCACCCCTTCGTCCTCGCGGATGAGCACGGAGCTGATGGCCGACGTGCTCACCCCTAAGTACAAGAAGAGGGTTTCGCCGGCTTTGGGCTTGGAGAGCACGGGTGGGGACGACAGGTACCTCTTCAACTCGTCGAATGCTTCCTGGCACTCCGTTGTCCACTTGAAGCTGTTTGCCTTGCGCATGATCTGGAAGAAAGGGAGTGCCCTCTCGGCTGACCTGGAGAGGAAACGGTTTA